GGAGGGATTGGGGGCAGGAGGAGAAGGGGATGACAGAGGATGAGATGTCTGGATGGCATCACTGACTCTATGGGCATGAGTTTGAGTAAACTCCGGGAGTTGGTGATGGACAGGGAGGCCTGGCATGCTGCGATTCATGGGGTTGCAAAGAGTTGGACACGACTGAGCGACTGGACTGAACTGAACTGAAACCACAGAGGAACATGAAGAGTTTTAGCCGGGGTCATCAGGGTTAGCTTCTAGGGGCACCAGTATTCTTTTTTCTTTCCTTTCCTTTTGTTTTGTTTCTTTTCATTTCGTTTCTCTTTTCTTTTTCAGCTTTATTGAGATATAATCGAATGGGAGCAGGAGTTTTGAGCAGAGTCTAGTGGAAGGTAAAAGAAGCTGGCATGGCAGGGGCAGGGAGAGAGCAGGTGTGAGCAGTGAGAAGGGCACCTCGGGAAAGAGAAGACTCAGAAGTCTGAAAGCACCTAAACAACCGCAGCCTCGCAGCTCAGCTGGAAGGAACAGTGGGGTGAGGAACGACACCCTGTCAGACACCTTCCAATGTGCGAGTGGGAACGCATACTTTTTGCTGCTGGTGATAATGCCAAGAATTTATATTTTGTGTTAATTTGGCCTCATTTACATAATACCTTATTATAGTGAATCACTTAGATGTTGCCTAATTGCCCTCTTTCTCTTGCTAACCCCAACAATGAGAAAGTAAAAAACCTGACTTTTATTTTGGCTGAGGCAGAGAAATGTGATTTGATATTTTCCTGCCACAGATCTTTTGCTTTCATATTTACTTGTTTTTTGCTAATTTGTTTTTCCTCGGCCACACAAGCACTTTGCTTTGTATGTTTCTTTTGCATTTGTCCACAGGTATATGTGTTCAGCCATGCTTTCTAGGAAGTTAGGAAAACCCAACTTTTTTTTCTCATTTAAATTATATAATTATCATTTTCTTTGCTTTCCCAGTGTATTCTTAATTTTAGTCTTTCATAGATATACCATATTCCATTGAGTAATCATTGGAAAATTGTTATGCTTCAGTTTTTCAATAGTTTAGATATTGTAATGGCAATTTTTGTGTATAGCACTTACTTCTTCTGTTAGATTATTTTCCTAACAGCATCTGTAACTCTTAACTTTCTGCTTAGAGAAATAAAGTTTTATAATTTAGGGTTTTCTCTTCCTTGCCTCCCAATCTTGTATGTAAATAACCATTTCAGCATGAATTACTATGCATTTTATTTTCTCTATATAGCAGCCTTACTAATGCATCAGTCTAGACATGCTTATGTAACATACTACAATATAAGCCCAAGAACTTCTGCCATCTATGTAACTATGAAAAGCAGGAACGCAGTACCAGACTATGGAATTGTCACAGAGCGATTGTGATGGTCATAAAAAAGTCACTGTAGCCTGAAGGTCCAAATCTCCTTTATATTGTTTCCTAGATTCATTTTTCTTTAAGTCTGTATCTTTTATCACCAACTCATAACTCATTCATAACTCATTCTATACCTACTAACCCTTTAACTATTTTCTTCATTTCCTTACTTTAATGACATTACTTGCTATTTGATCAGTACTCTTCCTGCTGCCTTAGTGTTTGAAATTATTGTTGTTGTATTTGTACCCACCTCCCAATCATTAGTGATCTTTTAATGTTTCTCTATATCGGTTGGTTGATTTCTAAGATACTGAAAGCTGTTTTTTTGGCAGCATACACTGGCCATATGATCCAGCAATGCCACTCATGGGAATATATAGTAGAAAAGAGTTCACAACAAACATGTACATGAATCTTTATAACATCTGTATTCATAATCATCAAAAATTGGAAACAACCAAAATGACCTTCAGAAGGTGAATGGAAAAACACTTGGTAGTGCATCTGTACAATGGAATGCATGCATGCTAAGTTGCTTCAGTCGTGTCTGACTCTCTGCTACCCTATGGACCATAGTCTGCCAGACTCCTCTGTCCATGGGATTCTCCAGGCAAGAATACTGGAGTGGGTCACCATGCCCTCTTCCAGGGGATCTTCCTGATCCAGGGATCAAACCCACATCTCTTCAGCCTCCTGCATTGGGAGGGGTTTCTTTACCACTAGTGCCACCTCGGAAGCCCATGCAATGTAATACTACACAGCAGTTAAAAAGAAATCAACTCCTGATACATGCAACAACTTGGATAAATCTCAAAATAGTTATGCCAAATGAAAGAAGTCAGATTCAAAAGGTTACCTACTCAATGATTCCATTTATATGACATTCTTGAAAAAAGACAGCTACAGTAACGAGAACAGATCAGAGTTTTCCAAGAGTTATGGGTGAGGGGAAGTTGTGACTGCACGGGGACAGTATGAGTTTTGGGAGGTGATAGCACTGTTTTGTGTCCAGACTGTTGTGAGGCTAAGACTTCTATCCAGGTGTCAAAATTCAGAGAACTAACACTAAAAAAGTAAATTTATTGTATGTTAATTTTAAAAATATAAAAAGGTTGCAGTTTCATCAAAGTAGTCATAGGTCTTTTGACAAGTTATTTAATCTCTCTAAATCTCAATTTATTTACTTGTCAAGTGTAGAAAATACTATCTTGAAGCGGTGCTATAAAAATGAAATAGGATGTCATAAAGTATCCACCTGGCATAAGGAAGCTCCTCTTTTTCTTTTCCATGCTGATGTTTCTCATTGGTAGCAGATTCTTATTTGTGGTTATTATCATCTGGACTTTTTTTAACAGCTATTTGGCTTTTGGGGAACAGACTGAAGCAAGTGAGGGTTTCAAGCAGAAATGCAACCTGATCTGATACTCATTTAAAAAAAAAAATCATTTGAGCAGCTTTGTGGGGAGTGATGAGGGGTGCAGGAGGGTAGGAGTGGAAACATGGAGGGAGCTCCCTGGTGGCCTAGTGGTTAGGATTTGGTGGTTTCACTGCAGATGCCCTGCATTCTACCCCTGGTCAGGGAACCATCCCACATGCAGCACAGTACAGACAAAATGCTAAAAAAAAAAAAAATAGAGTGGGAGCATCGAGAGGTGTTGGGGTTGTCCGGATGAGAGACAGTCGTCGTGTGGACTCAGTGGGACAACAGAGTGGTAGACAAGTAGGTAGGTTTGGGATTTTTTTGAGGGGAGAGGTGGAATCAATAGGCTTGATGATGGGTAAGGATTGAGGAAACATGGTTGGAGGATCATTTATTGAGATGAGAAACTCAAGAGAGGAGCAAATTCAAGTGTGTGGACTGTAGTCATCATGGAAGATCAACAATTTGTTTGGATGCGTTAAGGAGTGGAAACCTAACAGGTAGTTGGGTACAGGGTTCTGGAACCCAGGACCAGGCCAGTGTGATCCCATTCATTTCCATTGGAGGTGGCTCTGTGAAGTCTACCAGCTCTGACCGTCCAGATTAGGGCTGCAGGGGAGCTGTTAGCTGCTATTCCTTCCACCTAACCTTGGGATTTTTTTAATGAATCACTTTTCTTTAATCCATTTCTGAGAGCAAGCATTTGTAGAAACTTCAGATTATGCTTTTATGGTCCACTGCTGCCAGATTTTCTTTTTCATTTTCCATTTAATGTGATTTAGTGAAGGAGACACCCAGCATTTCCAAATATCCAGCCTGGAAGTCATTAGTCACATTGTATATGATTAAGAAGTATTCATAAACTACCGAGACCGCTGATGAATATACAAACACATGAATAAGGGATTATATGCTAACATATTTTGTTATTTATATTGTGCTTGAATTTCCAGTTTTGCCACAGACAAGGGAAAGAAATTCAAGATATAATTTTCCTTGAAAGCTACCCATTAACCATTGCCTCTAGGAATGGAATTTGGGGAGAGGTATTGAGGAAGCCTCAACTGTGTCTGCAAAAAGTTAAAATTCTGTAGAGTTGGGTATTGGGTCAGCATGTTCATCAGATTCATCTATTTGAAATATTTTATAGTTAATATTTTGTTCTTTAAACATATACATAAAAATAACTTAAAGTCAAAGACATGAGAGACAATGCCCTTCTTCCACCCGCTCCACCTCTTTAATCACCATAAAGAGTGATCTATTGGGTTTTTCTCTCAGAAAATGTAATTACTTTGTAATGAAATGTTAATGCTATGTTCTATTCTTAAAGTCACTTGTTCCAGTAATAAAGCTATGGCTTAATAGAGTTGCTAAATTTTCTTCTAAGCCATTATTTTAATATTTCATACTTGTCAAGTGAGACAGGCATGATCGGGAACATCTTTGTTTTTACATCAGGACCATTTCGGCAAAAACTCATCATCAGGCCGTCAACTTCAACATCTTCGAGGGCATGGTTTGCCATGGGGTGCCCCTGGTGACTATTTCAAGAGGCAAAGTGGTATATGAAGCTGGAGTTTTCAGTGTCTCAGCAGGAGATGGGAAGTTTATTCCTCGTAAACCGTTTGCTGAATATATTTACAAACGGATCAAGCAGCGGGACCAGGTGAGTTTGGGGCTGCAGGGGCTGTTACCATGGGCCGGGTGGTCTCGTCACGTGCTCCTGGATGTTGGTGCTGTTATTATCCCATACAATGGGGTAACCTATTCCTGGGATGTCAGAAAAGGTTACCAACAAATAGAGTTTTCAAAGAAAAAAATCATTACTAGATGGATGCATTTTCCTTTGCAGATTAGGAAACCCTATTCAGGGTTTCCTAATGGACCAAGTCGGGTTTTCCTAGGCAAGTTCAGGGCCCCTGTGGGCCTTTTGGCAACTGCTGTTAGTCAGGGTCCACTCACAAGTAGCCATCCAGAATGATAAAAGTGCCACCAGTTTACACCTCAGAGAAGAAATGGGAGGGAAAGTGGGAAAGACTCTGGAGAGCCATCAGCCTGCAACTCAAGCCCAGCCCCAAGGAATGAGACAGGGAGAGGAAAAACAGCGTGGTAAGCACCCTAGAAGCAGCGCATGCAGACCAAAAAAAGCTTGAGCAAGGCCTACAAACAGCCCTCGAGCAGGTTCCTGCGTCCAGCTACGTAGCATGCTGTCATTGGCTGGGAGCAGCAGTGGGAGGCGTGGCCTCCCCTACAAACAAAAACGTGAAGTTCAAACTCAACAGCCCCTTGGAAAACCATGCTCCTTGTAGATGAAGGTCTGCAAGGCCATCCTGGCTCCCTTGATAGCTCAGTTGGTAAAGAATCTGCCCGCAATGCAGGAGACCCTGGCTTGATTCCTGGGTCGGGAAGATCCCCTGGCGAAGGGACAGGCTACCCACTCCAGTATTTTTGGGCTTCCCTTGTGGCTCAGCTGGCAAAGAATCCGCCTGTAAGGCGGGAGACCTGGGTTCGATCCCTAGGTTGAGAAGATCCTGTTAGAAGGGAAAGGCTACCCACTCCAGTATTCTGGCCTGGAGAATTCCATGGACTGTATAGTCCATGGGGTCACGACTGAGCACTTTCACTTTCAAGGTGCATTCATGGCAGGGTTTGGGGTCAAGTAAATATGAATTCTATCTTGACTTCACATTTCCTGGCCGTGTGGCCAAGAGCAAGTTTCTCTGTCGTCTCTGGGCTGCTTCCTCATCTCGAAAAGGAGGATAGTGTTTTCTCCCCAGGAGATTGTAAGAGTCAAGTGAAATTTTAAAATATAAGGCATTAGCGGGAGGTCTATAAATATCAGTTTGGTCTCTTTGTTTTCCCCCTTTGATGACCGAATTTTTAATAAAGTCTTTGTAATAATCCTGTTATAAGAGAGGTCTTAAAAGGTATGTTCTTTTAAAGTATCTTGGATTTTCACGTTTGTTTATTTAGTTCATGCAGTGTTTTCAACAATTTTAAAAACTCACTTCACTAAATACACTAACATAGCAAAAATTTCAGATTAAAATCATCCAAACTGCTGGTTTGGGAGTGATGGAAGGCAACCAGTGCCCTTAATTTCACATGGTAAGAATAGGCTGGAGCTGGGTGACTGAGTCCTGCAGAGGCAGCCTTTATGACATTCATCTGCAGGCTTCACTCATTAATGTTCCCAACCTGACCATGTAACCATTACAGTTTATAACCCTTGAATTAGTTCTAACACTTCCTTGTCTTTTTTCATTTTAAAATACATTTCTCTTTTTCCAAAGTTCTCCAGCTGTCTTCTGATTCATTTCATTTGGGTCTTGTAGTCTCTTTGATTTCTTCTCTAATGTCTTGTGAAATTTTTTTGCTTGTGGATTCTCAGACTTTGTTATAAATAAGATTCATCCTTTCTTCTTCTTTTTTTTAAATCACTTCCTAAAGCTTTGATTTAGTAAATGAGTACTCTGGAATGCTGTAAATTCTCAGAATGTTACGATTCTTCATCTATTGTATTTCATCAAAATATTTAAGGTTGCAATTTATTTTGCTGGGGTTAATTTGTAAATGTTGACACTGACAGGTGACAGGTAGGTAGAAACTAAAAGATTCCCATGTATTTCTAAATGTCATAATGGTAAATTACAGCAACACTAACATTTACTGAGCTCTTACTGAGGCAAAGCACAGTGCTAGGGGATCTTGTCACTGTAACAACCTTGTGAGTGAGGCAGTATTTATTATTTTCCCCAATTTAAATATTANGAAAGGGTTAGTCTCTCAGTTGTGTTGGACTCTTTGCGATCCCATGGACTGTAGCCTGCCAGGCTCCTCTGTCCATGGAATTTTCCAGGCAAGAATACTTCTCCGGGGATCTTCCCGACCCAGGGATCATGCCCAGGGCGAGGCACTTCCTGGCTGTCAGTACCTGCTGCTCACTGGCAAGGGTGCTAGACTAACCGATGACACCTCCTATTAGCCTCTCTCAGTCACATCGGACTCTGCGCCCCCATGGACTCTGGCTTACCAGGTTCCTCTGTCTGTGGAATGTTCCAGGCAAGAATACTGGAGTGGGCTGCCATTTCCTTCTCCAGGGAATCTTCCTGACCCAGAGATGGAACCCAGGTTTCCTGATAGACTGTATTTAAAAGACTGGCTTTGCCTAAGTCTTCCTCCTGTTGGGAAAATGTTTGAGGCAGCCAAGATCACCACATGATTGGCTTCATCAGTTCTCTATTTCAAACTGTTGTTGGGTGTTTTGTTGGCAAAATTAATGTCAATGTCATTTTTTTCAGAGTTCACCATCAGTTTTGTGAGTTAGTTTCTTAAGATTTTCTTCTGATCTCAAGTTTGAAGACATGTTAGTCCATGATTGCTTTTATAATAAGTAATAGTTGTCATTATAATATGTTGTTCTGAGCACTTATGATCTGTCAGGCACTGTACTTGGTGTAATTAATAGTTTTTTTTCACTTAATCTGCACAGCAAGCCATGTGAGATAGTATCATCCCTGTTTTACAGAATAGAAAACTGACTCAGCAAAATTAGGTAAAACTTCCCTGGGCTAAGCAGTGAGGAATCATAAGAGCCAGAGTTTGTGGTAATGCTTTCCGGATTCTCACTATACCATGGGACTTCAACAGAACAAGTAAAAAGAGCATAGTTGTGAAACTAAAATCATGGGAAATCCATTATTTTTTAAAGTGTTAATGTGGAAAAAGTATCAAATAAAGTGGATAAAATGAGGTTTGAGGACTGTGTGGAGATGTTTCAAATCTTTTTTTTTTAATCTCCATTAGGCAAAGATAATTTTATAGAAGAAACATATCACACTGAAGTTAAGAAAAAGAGTGGTTAAGAATTCTAGATTTTGTATTCACATGAGGTAATGAGAGCTCTTCCCTTGGTTTTCATTTAAAATATTCAGACTTCTTTGTGAGTGAGGATAAGAGTTTGAAGGCAAACAGGAAGTGCCCACACCACTTCTCCTGCTCACCTGTTATCCTTCCCAAGAACATTAATCACTTACCACTCTGGACTCCAAAGCACAGATTGTAGAGAAATGCCAGGGTTTCTCAGTCCCAGAACTCAGCTGGTCTCCTGGCTAGAGTGTTAGTTCTTTGAAGAACTTACTTTTTTATACCCAATACTTGCTATCTAGTTGGTGTTTGATAAATAGACAAATTGCAAATGGAAGGAACAAAGACTACAGTTTCAGAGGTCATGGAAAGGAATTTGGATAAATTTACACAGAAAATTAGTCCCCTGCCTTGTCCCAAACAGGGGGGTTATCTGTAAACTTGATTCCTATCAATGATTTTATTACTTAATAAAAAACTTAGTATCATGCTGTGCAGCTGTCACTGTTAACAGATATTATGAGGAATTCCAAAGAAGAGAAATGGCATTTCGATGTAGTTTGACAGCTTCAGGAAATTGTTACTTTAACATTTAAACAGCGGATCCTTAAGGGAAAAAATTTAGATTAGGAAATGAAATATCTAACTTTATTTGATAAACAGAATAATAAAATACATATTTCAATTCAATATAAAAAGTCACTTATGGAAGAGTACTGGGGGATTCAGGAAAACAAAAATAAAAGAGGAAGAAAAAAAGTACTTTGTCCCCTGGTATCTGCAGAGGTTTTGTTCTCAGTATCGGCAGATACCAAAGTCCACAGATTTTCTAGTCCTTTACACTGTTGTCCGTTTCTATCCATGCATTCAACCAATGATGCATATGGAGGCCTCTGTAACAGCAACTGAGATGTTCAAGAACATTTTGAAAGAACAAAATCAATTTACATGTGATTCATTCTTCACCCCCCTCCAAAAGATAGCTCTTTAAACTCAAATGGTTTATTATTTCTAGACTTTGTGTGTGTTTAGAGTGTTACATTTTTTTTACCAAAACTTGGAAGTATAGACATTCTTCCAATCATCCCCTTTTCTCTTTTCTCAGTAGTAAGCAACCCAATCTCTTTTGTAAAATAAGGGTCATGCTGCATTTTCTGAAGAAGCAGGAATAGCTGCATGGAGCCACGCATGGTTTCAGAATACTGCTGCCCAAGCTTTTAAACTGGCTGTACCTTTGCATCTATACACATAATTTGCCATTTAGATACGATAAAATTGAGTGAATGACTGATCTAATCTTTGAAATGGGTGTCCTCCATTTCTTAAATAACAGTTTTTCAATGTCTTTCTCAATGTGGTAACTCAAGGAAAATATTAATAATTGAAGTCATCATCAACTGTCATATAATTCTAATTTTCCCAGATCAATGGCTAGTAATGAATAAAGTAAGTAGATATCTTCTTACTTACATTTACAAAAGGTGAATTTTATGTTGGAGCCACATGTATGTATCCCATCCCAGCTCCTTATTCAGTGATGTCAGTTTGGTAGCTTGAAATCAACCATGGTGGGAGCATTTGCATGACAGAAACAGGCACGTTCATTAAGTCAGGGCTTTAGGAGTGATGAGAGAAGGGAAGGTGGGTTGTCAACATTTACCAGCACATCACTGTATACAGGGACTTTCTAAATGCTTTCTTTTCATATTTCATCTAACCATTCAACACTCAATAAATATTTGCTGAAAATCAATTAGGTGCTCACGTTGTTCTGGAGAAATAGCTCACAGAGTATTTTGA